ACCTAAACTACTGAATTTCCTGAAACATGTCTACATAATTTACTGGGAACTGGGAATTGGGATTTTATTTTACTGGGAACTGGGATATGGGGTGTTTTTTGCTGGGAAAGTGGGAATGTACCCCCCCGTTCCCCCCCTCCTACTTGTTCTAGTTCTATAGCTAGTTGTTCTAGTTCCAGGGCTACTTGTTCTAGTTCCAGAGCTACTTGTTCTAGTTCTATAGCTACTTGTTCTAGTTCTAGTGCTAGTAATTGTTCTAGTTGAATGAGCACTGAAATGAGAATTTCTGACAACTGGCCGTGCAGTCGTACACATAAAACGCGAGACCACATGCTCATACATATGGGATTGAACTTACAATAAACGATTAGAATAAAATACAACAATTTTTTTTAAACACGTGGAATATCAGTATAAAACACTGTAACAGTCAGTTACGATGGTTTGTCTCAGAAGTCCCCCGACGCGAATCGGTGTGCATCATGCTCCCTCTGCCTCTTCTGCTTCTGCATCTCCTCTTCTGCGGCATTCCTCTACAGGGCGTAAGAGAGGTCCTCACACTACATCAAGGCAAAGATTTTTCATATCATTAACTATGAGAAAACATATGACATCAATTGATAATTAAGTACTTGATATAACAACTGGAATGATTTTCAACTTAATCCAACATGTAACGTTTACGAAACGTGAAAATTTATTGGATTCATGATTGGCGAAATATGACGTCCAATAAAATAAAAAAGTGCATTTTTACTTAATCAGGCTTGCATAGCTGAGGCAATTCTCGTCTGTCCTTATAACGTTACAGTAACCAGCATAGAAAAATGTGGATAACTAAATTTACCATATTCAGTCTTCGTTATTCATAGAATTAAACAAAACTCGATATATCGATATATATTAATATATAATCGATGATACGTCAATTACATCCAATTTCAAGGAATTTTGTGATACGAAAACTAGAAAATAAACAATTACCTTTGTTCTTAGCAGTTCCTTTAATCGGAAAGTGGTGGCCCGTCAGCGATTCTCCATGGAAATGTCGAAATCAAATCTAATTATTGATTTATTGATTTATATTATTGATTTATATTATTGATTTATATTAATATATAATCAATTGTTATATCAATATTTTATTGATATATTATTGATTTATATTATATTATTGATTTATATTATTGATTTATATTTAAAAATATAATCAATTGTTATATCAATATTTTAATTATCACTAATTTATATACATATAATATTATATATATATATAATTAATTTATATATTATACATAGCCTAATTAATATATTAATTATTAATATATCAATTATACCCAATTTCAGGGTGTCATGAGATGCAGAAACTAGTAAGTGAACAAATACCTTTACTCTTAGCAGTTTCTTTAATCGGAGAGTGGTGGCTCATATATAGGAGGTGCTAATTAAGCTTGATGTAGAGAGTCATGGTCTCACCAGGGGGCGCTAAGCTTGATGTAGAGAGTCATGGTCTCACTAGGGGGCGCTAAGCTTGATGTAGAGAGTCATGGTCTCACCAGGGGGCGCTAAGCTTGATGTAGAGTGGTGTTGTCTCACCAAGGGGCGCTAAGCTTGATGTAGAGAGTCATGGTCTCACCAGGGGGCTCTAAGCTTGATGTAGAGTGGTGTGGTCTCACCAAGGGGTGCTAAGCTTGATGTAGAGAGTCATGGTTTCACTAGGGGGCGCTAAGCTTGATGTAGACTGTAGAGACTCATGGTCTCACTAGGGGGCACTAAGCTTGATGTAGAGAGTCATGGTCTCACTAGGGGGGCGCTAAGCTTGATGTAGAGAGTCATGGTCCCACTAGGAGGTGCTAAGCTTCATGTAGAGAGTCATGGTCTCACCAGGGGGCGCTAAGCTTTATGTAGAGAGTCATGGTCTAACTAGGGGGCGCTAAGCTTAATGTAGAGAGTCATCGTCTCACCAGGGAGCTCTAAGCTTGATGTAGAGTGGTGTGGTCTCACCAGGGAGCGCTAAGCTTGATGTAGAGTGGTGTGGTCTCACCAAGGCGCGTTAAGCTTGATGTAGAGAGTCATGGTCTTACTAGGTGGCACTAAGCTTGATGTAGAGAGTCATGGTTTCACTAGGGGGCGCTAAGCTTAATGTAGAGAGTCATGGTCTCACTAGGGGGTGCTAAGCTTGATGTAGAGAGTCATGGTCTTACCAGGGGGCGCTAAGCCTGATGTAGAAAGTCATGGTCTCACTAGGGGGTGCTAAGCTTGGTGTAGAGAGTCATGGTCTCACCAGGGGGCGCTAAGCTTAATATAGAGAGTCATGGTTTCACTAGAGGGCGCTAAGCTTGATATAGAGAGTCATGGTCTCACTAGGGGACGCTAAACTTGTTGTAGAGAATCATGGTCTCACCTGGGGGCGCTAAGTCGGATGTAATATATGTATGTATGTAAGTCAGCACATTACCAGCTTTTATGCTAACTAAGGCTCTTGCTCCACGTTCGGCTGAGATGGGTTAACAGTGGACGTGGCACATTCTGGGCTCAGTTCCTCCGCATGATGGCTGTGGTGCATGATCTGCTGAGAGCAGATCGTGAGGGGATATGGGAACTTCATCTTGATGCCGTGCAAAGTGCTATCTACCTATTCGCCGCCTTTGACTCGACCAACTATCTTCGCTGGGGCTCTGTCTACCTGGAAGGCATGCGGCGTTTACCTCAAACTGCACCATCAGTCCATGACAACTTCCCAAGTGGGAACTTTTCCATCAAGGAGAAACCCAGCCGCTTCACTGCAGTCGGTGGTGACCAGAAGCTTGAGCAAAGTATAAACCTATCATCTAAATGCAGTGACGGAATCATATCGGGCATGCCAAGCAGAAGCAGTACGTTGCTCAATGGGACTTGATATACCATGAAATGATGGCAGTAAAGAATCTGCATCGGAGATATGCTGATGTGATGGAGAGGACACACGAGTCCTTTAACCACCACGAGTCATCCCAAGCTACTACAGTTCGCAATGGTAAATTTCATTGAAGAGAAAGGCTCCCACATGCCTCTAGGGGCTTTCCCATGCTGCATAATTTTGTGACAAAGAAGGTCATGGCAAAATACATCAAATATGACATACTGTCCCTTCGCCAAAGCAGAAGAGAAGTACTTGACATTTCGACTCAGAAGATTCGTATAGAAAACCACAAGATTTTAGTGAAAGCATTCATCGATCGAATCTGAAAACAATGAAAACAAATCAATACAAGCCACAGAAGACCATCAAGAAAACAGTGAGGGAGATGAATGTTGTAGGGGAATGATTGAAATCGCCCGTGATCGTGGCCTTATGACTACCGAGGACCTCCTGAAAATATGATGTTGCACCTTTACCTCTTCTGTTCAATGAGAACGGGATGATGATCAGCTCAGGAAAGAGCCTGTTGATTAAGGAGTTGGAGACTAATCTTATACCTGAGGACTATGACTATAGCCATTGGAAGAACGTATACGCTTCATAGACATAATGGCCACAGCTCGTAAGGTTCGTGTGTCTAGCCTCTCCAGCTTCAAGGATCTCCTCTTAGCATTTGTATCCATTTCGGATGTATACCATCAGTTTGGGCGATGTGACTATGTGTTCGACATGTACTCAGATGAACCCTCAGTGCCGGATAGCGAGAGAAAGAGGCGCACTGAAACTGTACCAATCGAGTACAGTTCAATTGAACCACTGACATCTCTACCAAAGGCGATGGAGAGATTCTGGCCTTTAGACATGAATAAGCTTCTTCTTGAGAAGCTAATCTACTGCCATCTTCGTTCAAATACTTCCGAAACATTACAATACCCCACTGTACTCGGACAAGTGACCAAGGAAGACGAGGATTGGATTGCATCATGGTCCATCAAGGCCAGGAAAAAGCATTGCCCACACCTTAAAGCACTATTTGAAGTATATGACCTCCGAATACTCATCCACGTCTTGGACTCTCTCAATGTAGAACACAAATTGTGTGTAGCGTGTTGTAATCTCCAATGATACAGATGGCATTGTTGCTCTGCTCTACCACATGCCGGACTTTCACCAACACAACTTTGAGGAGCTGTGAGTGCGAGCCGGAATGGGAGATCCAACTCTATATATACCCCTAACCCCTTCATACCCTGTTCCAGCGCCTGGGAAATCGTCTCTGTGCAGTACTGCCGGCTATACAGTCTTACAAGGTGTGACATAACCAGCAAAGTTGGTACAAAGAACAGCTCTAAAGGCAGCTCTAAAAGCAGAGCCTGAAAGGTTTCAGAAACACTTAGAGGAATCACCAACCCTCTCTCCGGCCATGACCCGCAACGCCGAGCATTACCTAGTGAAAGTGCTGAAAAGAGGTAGCGATGCTAAATGTTTCTCTGAATATCTGAGGTTTTCCGCTTCAGCAAAGAGAGTTCTCTCCACAGCCTACCTCCGACTAGTCAGGAACTCCTTCCTCATATCAAGCGTGAATTCTGCAATGCCTACACCATCAGCCATTCATTGGAGTGCCACCTCGACCTTAAAAACGTTGAGACACTGAAGCCAGAAGATAGATTGTAGCTATGTGAACGACCACGCATAGCTGGTACCCGCAACATCGTGGGAAACCCTCGAGCCTTATTGGTCAGTCTCCTGTTCATGTGCTAAGTGTACAAGTACAAGGTACAATTAAGGCTGGGATAAAATGTGGTAAATTTTGTCGGTGCAGAAAAACATTACCACATGCTTGTAAAAACCCAATTGTTTGATAGGATTAGGCTGGGTTCTGGTAGGCTTTTATTTTTCACGAAAGCGTCCACCTGTACAGTTTTATGATGCATGTATATCCTTCAATCATCTTTCTATGGGACAATTCATGTCTTAATTTCGCTTTTGGCAGACATCTTATACTTCCTCTATAATTAGGTGAACTCTAAAATGTATAATAATGAGGTCAATCAATTCCTTGGTGTCAAAAACCTATGTAGCCGCAAAAATCAACTTCCTAGATCACTTACTCAAGGAGTTATAATCATTTGACGAAATTAGCAAAAGACTGCTGTTTGGGGGTAGGGCTGACCCCGAGTTACAACAGCCCCCCTACGCATCATATAGAGCACACGGGGGCATCAGTATGAAGCTTGGGTCAATTAGAGCACTTAATAAGGAAACGTCTGGCCAATTTTGGTAGCTCTAGCTACAATATTGTGCGAGTGAGTAGCAATCATACTTAGAGCTACTTTCAAAGTGACTGCGATTTTTGGCTATTTTTTGGCTAAAATTGAGCAAAATGTAGCCATTTCGTACTATGAAACAATGTTTATGGCAACAAATCATGCTGGAACGTTTTTAGTAATACTTATTTAATGTAATTCAGTGCAATTTGAAAGTTTATGGTTGCTTCATAAAGAATTATGTTCTGAAACTTTAATATTGTCATTTTTTCACTTTGGCGCCTAACCGAAAATCACATAATGGGCTGTACAGTAAAAACGTACTTGACCCAGAAGTGTTACCCAAACTTTTTTTGAGTCTTGCCATAAGGAATGAGAAAATATAAGGTTTTGCTCTAAAAGAGTCATGTACACGAACACGGGACAGCACGAGAGTGTGCAATATCGGTCTGCTGTGCTGATATGACGCATATTTTGCCTCGATCGTCTATCGCCTCGCTGGATCTATATAACTGTGGTAGAGCTCGCGTTCTGCATGCGCTCGATTGAAATAGAAGCCTTTTCTAGTGTGCACAGTTGAGGTATCTGGGCGTGAAGCAGATGCTGGTGTGGACCATATCGTTGCCCGACAATTGACCAACACGTAGGTGGATTTTGGAATGTGCAGCAGATACAGGTTTTATACCACCAGCACCATATATATGTTTTACCATCTGAACGACAGATGACACTCATTACATTAAATTCTCCATCGTAACAACACCAACAGGTCGTTGCATCCAGCCTAGATGGTTACTATATGTGGTGTACAACGTACAACAGTAGAAGGCGTCCATAGTACAGTAGAAGCATATACAGTAGAAGCATCGACAGACGCTAATTAAAAATACTCAGAGAGTTTCGGCGGATACGCGACATACACTTTATTCATGCTTGATGGCTATCGATTTAAATTCCAATCTTCACTCAAAACATTTGTTGATTGTTTTCGGGATCTTTCAGCATGTAGTCGGATCCCGTTTCAAACACAATAATGGAGGACCGGTCACCATGGCTACGCCACTTTACGCAATGGCAAAATTACACGACATGACCAATCTCACTTCTCGCACTTTTGAGACGTCCACGAGGCATCTACCTTGCCTGCATAATGCACATAACTGCACTCTAGTACCGAATTTTAACGCAAAAAAATTCAGAAGGCGGCCTTTTACATGTATATGGACGATATAGTGCAAGTGTATGCCACCTATACGGTATCTGACCTTCCTTGTCTGCTATGTCCTTTTCGGCTGTGACACGTTTCCGCGTTCAGCAGTGGTAAGCAGAAGAAACCGGATTGAGAAGTTTAAAAGGCCGACACAGTCAACGGATCAGCTTTAATCTATTCTAAAATAAATCATGTAGTGTAGCATCGACGGAACAAGACACATTAAATAGAGAGATTGGTTTCATAAACCATTACCTGCTTTTGATACATCATTACATACATGCTATGTTGACATATGGATATGAAATATGACTATAGCATGTTTCTCTCCAGATGCTTCGTAGCATACCAACTACTTTACTATATATATATGTTACTATTAAACTAGTTTAATGAACAGATTTACCATGTATATATTTAGTCGACAAACGATGACGTCGCATATACTAAACAAATATATAAACTTAATAGATATCGTGAACTCGTCATGGATATCATCAAGATATCATAGATACCATGAAGTCTTTTATCAATCCGATTATTATGGATCGATGTGGATTCATGATAAATGATGTGACTGAGTGTATTGGATACAAACGGAGCCCGCTGCACTCGATGAATGTTGAATATTGAAAATAATTCTACACACGCGAGGCAATTAAATAATATGTAAACTCGCATTTCAATCATAATCAACAATTTACAATCATATACATCATCTGCCGAACTATGAAGTTAAATTAAATAAAATTACACTGAAAGCCTCGCAATTCATAATTATGTTGTATTTCGAAGACGGTTGAAGACTCGGGAATCATCTTGTAGATTGTAGCAAAGTAGAGTCTTGTAGAGTAGGGATTGAAGCGTGCACGAGAGCTTGCAGTAGTTGTAGAGATGTAGAGACTTATTAGTCAATCTCCAATTTAGATAGAGCAGATACAGAGCGTCGCAGATTCGTTATGTAACTCTGGCTTTATTATAACTTGAACACATATATTATGTGTGTATAACATATATTATGTGTGTATAACATATATTATGTGTATATAACATAACACATATATTATATATATTATACAATACAAAATGTTATTAACTAAGGAGCGACGGCGTCCATTTCATTACAATAATTACATTTACGATATCAACGCTCTATAGGTCTGTTATATTAGAAGCTACTCAGACGAATACGAGACACGGAGATGGACATATTTCATATCATGCTACCCGGGGCGATCGCATGCACTCTACACGCTAAAAGCACGGACAAATTATATCAGTTGCTTTAGGGAATGCTGAGCAATTACTACCGGCTTTCGTTTTATTTTTCACATATTTGGATGTGCTCGACAAAGGTAGTCGTCGACGGTACATTTAGAACTACGTCTCTACAGTTCAACGACGCTGGGTTCGGAGTCGTGGCTACGTTCAATTTACTCAGATTAATCGAATCTTCGCTCAGGCTGGGTATGGATGTCGGCCGCTGATGACTTCCAAGTCGACTACTGCACGTAATATCGCAGCTTCCCGACGCGTTGTGCGACGAGGATTTGCCTCCTCTCCGATTCCATATGGTCTTATTGAATACGACGTACGCGAGAAATATCGACACGCCCTGCAGCGAATTGCAGACGATGAAGACGTACCACAGCCACGCGGCGTCGAATATCGCCGCGAGAAAGCCGGACAGCCACGTGAACCCCAACAGAGTCGACATCTTCGCGCAGAATACGAGACGGCGTGTCGGCGACAGCGTCGAGCCGACGTCCATGGTCACCTTCGCCATGCGGCCCAGCGTGTGCGCCGTGACGGCGAACAGGACGACATTACTGAGGAAAACGAGCGCAGCCGGCAGCACGAAGGCGCCGAGCAGCGCCCAGGTGTGCGAGATCCAGCAGCTCGTGACGGCGTATAGCCGCGGCGCCGTGGCGACGGCGTGCACTACGACGCACGGCGCGACGAAGACGAGCGGCAGCGTCGCCGCATACGCGCCGTACTTCCACATCGTGCGCCGTCGCTTCGTCGTCTGCTTGGCGAGCGCGAACGTTCGCGCGATGTCGAACGCCATCACGTGCATCCAGGCGAACGCGCACAGCCACAGGTAGTGCAGCGCGACGGCGACGACGACGCATGCGCCGCGCGCGTCCGTGCGGTGCACGCCGACGAGCAGCAGCAGCTGCGCGAGAAATAGCGTCGCGACGAAACACATGACCATCTTTCCGGGCAGCGTGCGCATCGCCGGCACGCGGCAGTAGGTCGCGAAGGTTAGCGCTAGGCAGACGAGCGACAGCACGCCCGTGACGAGCGACAGAACTCCTTTGACGTACGACTCGAAAGACGACTCTTCGACGGAGACATTCGAGTACGGGGCGGCGGCGGTGGTTTTCAACTGCGACGCGCAGACGATGATACTGCTGCTGTTGGCGACAGATTCGTAATGAGACGGTAACAACACGTGTCCGGTTTTAGTAGTGACTCGATTATTGCCGTCGATTTCATACTGGTCGTCGTCTAGCGAAACTTTTAAGCAAATGAGCAACTCGCTTTCGCATCCCGTTAAGCTAACCCTAGTTCGCCCATCTGCGTAGCGGGTGGCATTGATAAGGAGATTGTCCACGCCGTACATCGTCTGCGTTGAGTTGACTATGACGTAATCGGCACCGTCTGCGTTTTCGACAAACGTGACGTCAGCAGCGGAATACGAGACTAATTCGCCATTCGGACACGCATAGGCGGCGCCAAAGTCGTAGTTTTGTAGGCTAGCAGAGGCGACCTCGATCGCTGGATTAAACGCGTTTAATCTGATGGCCCGAGACGTTGTGTCCCAGATGTACGCGAGACTTACAGTCGCCCGATACGTATCACGATCGAATCGCACTCCAACGGTTACAGTGAAGCTGATCACCGAGGTATTAGTGCAGTCGTCTTTCCCGCCGTTATTTGTAAGTTTAACGTCTATGATCTGATGTGAATTGACACCAAGCACCGTTATTAATTCATTGGGCAATTCAACGAGTTCGGGAATTCTGTCGCAGCTCACACCCACGACAAGTGAAATGCTCAGAGCGTCTCCCATAGATGGCGTTAAGGTCAGGCCAGGAAAATCCGACGCGAGTGCTGATTGGTTGAACGGTAAGATGCATCGGTCCCCTTGCCTCTGCAAGCCCTGATTGCAGAAGGCAGTGAGACACGTGTCACTGTCATAATCGTACACTTGCCCTCCTTTGCATTTCTTATCCTTCGTTACGACTGACCTTCCCTGATAGCTTATTCCATCAACACTAGTTGAGAAATCCAACAAGAGCGAGAAGGATGGCAACTCGATCGACGGACCCAGCGAAAAAGATCTAGTGGGGCAATATGTACGAACAACACCGTTACACATCGCACAATGGGAATTACGATAAAGCTGGCCAGCGCGATATCCTGTAAATAGAGATGCGACGGGTGCGAAGTAAGCATCGCACATCTCGCTCAGCCATGCAAGATTATTTAGGATCGTGGGCTGCTGCAACATATCGTTAGCGAGGCAGGTGCTGGTAATATTGTTGTAATGGCCGTATCCGTATTTCAGAACGCAGTAGTGAGGCCTATGCTGTATGTTCCATGGAGGATGAGTATGGAATTTACACGATTTGATGAGGTCACTAATATTCGTTTCGTTCCCTTGCTCAATCGTCTCTTTGTTCCGTATGGTTCTATCGCATTTCATTTCGGCAAACCATTGCCGCAGTTCCAACAGCTTGCGCGAATGGCACACCGCGCAGAACATATTTCTGTACGTAATCCCTTGCTTGTCTCCAGATTCTTCATAGAACGGTGTTTGATAGACGGGTTCTGAATCAAAATCGTCTCCATCCTTCTCACACTTTCTCCGAATGTTTGCATTCTCCCAAGCTTCGGGGCATTTGGTAACGAGTAGGAAAAAATCAACGACACCTGGAATATAAACATATTAAGTAATACCAGATATGATTAATAGAATTAACAATTGATAATAATAGTGGTTAATATGGTTAAGTGGTGGTTATGGATGTGTAATAACGGAATCAATGTGTTAAATAACTCAATTCATCCATTCATCGTTTTCTCACGAGTACTCTGGGAGATACATCACTCCGTTCTACTGGCCACGTCACCGACCGACTATAAGGCTATATGATAATACTGCTAAACCTGCTCTGTGCCTCCTCGACACACACGTACACATTTTCGTGTCACGTGAGTAGCCTTTTACACGTGATCATTCAAAGTTGTTGAACTAATTCAATCTTAGTACAGAATTTGACATTATTACTGTCCTTGTGTGACCTGGGTCATACCTGCCACAATCTCCAGCCTATTTACAGACAGACGATGACGGATGTAATGAATCTATGCTCCATTTTACAACTTATAGTAAAGAAACTACATGTGCCCCACCATTTCAATTATCATAAACAACAAAAATCTATTAGACATTAATAGTATAATTGTCGATCTAATACCTTGCGTCGGTTTTATGCTAAAACCTTGACATGCCATGAACTCTTTCAGTGAAGGTTGCTCTTTTTTCTTTGCTAATGAACTGTATATTTCATCAATTCTTCGTTTTCCATGCTCGGTGATTCCCATAAGACATGTTGTTTCGTAGTCATAGCAACAGTCACCGTACCAGTGGCACTCGGCGTCGCAACTGCATTGCGTTTTTGCCACTTGGCCGCATCGAGAGCGACAGGAAAACTCTTTCCTATCACCAAACATACATCGGTCAACAGTGAAGTGATCTTCGTTATCCTTGCCTGAAATTTTTATCGAGGAAATACATCAACGGATAATAGGTCATTGAATTTAAAAATCAATGATTTAAACGTGATAGAACTAAAATTAATCATCAGTACAATTTAATTATAGTTACTATCAAATCCAATCAGAAAAAAATCAGTTCGGCAGTAATGGTGCTGCGTCACATTAAGTTATTGTGTTTAAGGTGAACATCGCGGGCGAGTTCCGTCTGGTATATTCAAGATGCGCGTATATATACCTGACAGTTGACAGCTGTCGGTGTCCTCGTCAGAGAAATCTGTACAGTCGGATTTACCGTTGCACACGAGTCTGCTTGGAAGACAGATCTCCTTATTGGAGCACGCGAATGGAAAATCATCTGAACATTGCATCCATTCTGTAAACACGAAGCGCAATGCGACCACATAATGAGTGATTGACAGCTCAGAGGAAGGAGTCCAGACGCGGAGAAAGTTATTGCAGCTGCATGCGTGATATTGTCCGCTTTCCTATAATATTGTTCCCCAACAACACTTGCGCCATGCATTTTGGTTCAATCAGGATATTCAGGTGCTACTATAGAATCAGGAGTACCGTACCCGCTGTCAATGCACAGAACAACTGTTACCCTGGCAATACGACAGGCATATTTACAACTGTACCATTAACCTATTCTAATGCAATATATATTATATATTATATCTATATATATATAAATAAATAAATAATATCATATATATAAGAGAGATCAACGCGAAAGAAATTAAATAAAAAATCCACACAGAAAAAATTGATTCGCCGCTGTATGCAGGAAGGATTCTCGTGTTAAATTCCTAATAATTATTGACAAGTCCTGAATAATAACAAATAATAAAATTACGAACAATAAATGATAAATAATAAATGTTTGAAAAACATTACTAAAAATAACAAATATATCACACCTAAGGGACAGAGCTCCTCGTCCCTGCCTCCCTCGCACTCTTTGGCATTATTGCAAGGTAATGCCCCGGTCGTGCAATTGCTAATGCAAGCAATACGAGAGTAGCTGCACTTGCGTTGCTCTAATAAAGGAAGTGGCGATGTCCATACATCAAATTCCTCCGTGGAAATATCGGTGATAGCTTTTTCGGTAGTAACATCTGCAATGAATATTTTACATCGTAGTTTCATGTAAAACTAATTGTTAAAAGCTTGCATTTATTACGCTTGTTAGTGACGCATTTGTGAAAGTGCTCACGTTATCAGCCATTTTTTTAGTTTACACAGAAGTTTTATATGCAACTAAATTACAGATTAAATGAAACAAACAATCATTACGGATTTTATAGAGTTCAAAAAACTTTACGAGTGAACATGCATTCTAATTAGTTCTAAGCTGACGAGTGAAAACCAATACATGATCTGATAGGTCAAGAACATTTTGGATTTCAAATTTCAAATTTCAAATAGAAATATATTCAGTCGTCTTGGCTTAGAGTATATTTATTTAGTGCGCTATGGACGGGCTGTTTTCGATTCCGTACATCGTTTGCCCGGCAAGTTTTTGCCCCAAACGCTGTTTGCCGTTAGAGTAACGCAGTGTTGGTATCAATATGTACTTAACGTTGAATCCACAGTGTATAATAGAGTGTTATATTTGTTGTGTACGTCGATCACCACCTTACATCCGTGTGCGAACACGGATAGATGACAGGATTAGGCAGGCTAAATAGTGGCATCACGAGGACGAGGACAATGAACACGAAATGTTGATGGTCAATGGTCATCAATATATATATAAGTATACGTGCATGGTAGCGTAAGGCAGAACTCTTCTTCTTCATCCGATCCATCTTTACAATCCGATTTTTTGTTACAGACAGATCGCATCTGGATACATTTACCCGATCGCCTGCATTTGAATTCGTCACTCGAGCAGATCTTAACCTCTGAAAATTTCACGAGAAAATCAGTCGTCAGTGACATCCCTTTTCATTGTAGGCACGTGGATACGAAAGGGTGTATATGGACTAACAGGATATTTAGCAAAACATATATAATACTGTAAACAGATTCGTCTTAATGCTCTATTTCAGTGAAGCAAGTATAACCATAGCTGCACTTAAAACGGAGATATCTAGCATGAAACTAAATGATAACATTAATTATTGATTAAAACTTTAATTTATTTAGATCACAGTGAATTATATCACGGATCTTAATAACAATATTATTCGTTAATTAAAATTTAAAATGCATGTTTATTATTTAATACAATTAATATTATGATCAACGAATCTTACGGCAGGCATCATCGCTCTCGTCTGAGCGGTCCCTACAAGTAGCCACGCCGTTACAAAGCTCGTAGTTGGCCACGCACATAGTTGTCGACCAGCACCGAAAAAATGGCTCAGTACAATTCTGCTGCCCTATAAATTAATAACGAATTCACCATTACTCGATTCACATATACTAGCTGGATTAAGATAATAAAAGGGATAATAATGGATATTCAAGGTCAGCAGAAGACGCATGCTAGCTTTTAGTTGAAACACCGTCAGCACACGTTAATTATAGTAGCAGGGACACGCGATAATAAATGATAATAGGGCATGACGTGAGATCATAAGAGGATAGAAGTGACACTACTAGCATGATAATAATAGAATAATAATGAACAAGGGGAGAATAATACCATATCCCTTTACTTCTATAGTGACATATGTGCCCATTTAGTCACAGTTAAATGAGGGGATTTACTGTGAATTGTACTTGGGTTGTAATAGAAAATTTTCTGACACTTAGGGGAGTACAAATATTGGTTTTCACACGCTCCCATCGTCTCTAGCTCACACCTTGCCAGACATAAACCCTTTCAGGCTCGCAAATTAATTGCTACAATAATAATAACGGCTAATAACACATCCACAAAGACATTTGCATGCACGCACGCGTACACACGCGCACACTCACAGATCTGTGCTGATTTCTCTCGCACATCTATTGCCAGTTCGCAATTATCTATCGCATTCCACCTACCCACCTTTCTCTCCTGTGCGCTCTCTCTTTCTCTCTTTCTCCTTCTCCCCCATCTCCTCTTTTTTACATTCCCTCAACATGTCTCTCGCATGTTTCATCTTCCCACCTCTCTCTCTCTCTCTCTCTCTCTCTCTCTCTCTTTCTCCTTTTCTTCACTTTCTCTATTCCTCGTTCCCTCTACAAACCATTCTCGCGTTCCCACTTTCCGCCCCTCTCTCTCGCTCTCTCTCCCCCTCTCGTTTTCTTCCTTTATTACTCCATTCGTTCCTTTTCACACCACGACCTGGATGCAGTATAAACACAGTTAGGTCAGCTCGCCTGTCAGAGCCACAGGCACTTGGGACAGAGTCAGTAAAAACTGAAAATAATATGAACGCACATTCACAAATCGTACGCCTCTGTTACAGTTCCACTGTTGCGACACTGTATATCAACTTTCCTTCATAAAACCCTATGTAAAAACTAACGCCGAACGCTCCCTCACTCGCCGCGGCCTTCGCCGCGGCGAGTGTGCTGTGACGCTATGATAATAATATATATAGAGCGGATATAGATATAGATATAGCTATAGCGGATATAGATATAGCATATCTATATATATTATTATCATAGCGTCACAGCACACTCGCCGCGGCGAGTGAGGTAGCGTTCGGCGTTAGTTTTTACATAGGTTTTTATGAAGGAAAGTTGATATACAGTGTCGCAACAGTGGAACTGTAACAGAGGGGTACGGTAGTAGGGCCTATTTGTGAATGTGTGTTCATATTATTTTCAGTTTTTACTGACTCTGTCCCAAGTGCCTGTGGTCAGAGCTGCTGCTATACGTACAGAATATATTTGCGCATTCGTAGTCGTAGAGTGGTTGCAATCCATGATTGCTACCGCACGCGAATTCCAGAGCGCCGCGCGGAGCATCAACGTTAGATCCGTCACAGATGTGCGACAAACGGAAGCAGCTTCCCGTGGTCGGACAGTGCGCTTCGAAGTCTCTGCATGGTAGCGCCACTAGCAACGTATAATTTGATTAGTGATGGGGTTTCAGGCTAGAATATTATAATCACACACACGTACTCACGCACGCCACAAACACACACACGTACACGCATATGATAATGGCCCATTAACACCTGGCTGAGCCCGAGCGTAATGCTGATGGACTCTAGTCCCAGCGGTACTGCCCGGTATACCGCGACGCGTACCCCTGCGCTACTAAATTACTAGCTATCTTAAATGCCGGGACGCGTAGCGTCGCCTACTCACTAAACGAGTCTAAGGGAGTCGGCCTACCGCCTACCTCACCTAACCCGTAACCTTAACCTACCCCTAACTCTAACTCTAACCCTGACCCTAACCCTAATCCGCTAACCCTACCATATCAGGCAGATAGTTACCCAGGCTGTACGCTTCGCGCTATACCGGACCGCTACCCAGGTATCGTTCCGGCAGCTACTCCTCGGGGACATAGCACACTATGAGCACACAGGGATGGCCGACAATACATACTCGACCAACATCAATACAAGCTCGGCATATTTTTATAGATAATAATCACTCACTACATTATTTACTGCATATCACTTGTAGCGCCATTAATTTATTCCCCGGGGGCCATTATGTTTAGGACCATCACACTAGTGATAACGCATCCAAATGTGCCTGATCATGTAGCTGAGAACAGTTGGGCTCTCTTGAACTATATCAAGTCAATCATCTCGCTGGTTCCTCGTATCTAAACGTTTTTTGTCTATTAGCAGAGGCGGTGCCCCGTTATCTAAAGATTTTGTCTATCAAACAGGAAGTCGTGCCTCGTATC